GGTTTTGCTCATTGATTTTGGTTTTCAAATCATCCATTTTCATTTCCCACAGGTTGAAGATGTCCAACTGCACCCTCAAAATCACCAGCGCAGTCGAGGACCTACAAAAAGTCACTTCCATTCCCACCTTCATTTTCGGGGTACTGGGGAACATTTACGTCTTGGTGATGTTCTGCCGCCGTCCCAGAGCAAAATGGACCTACATGAACGTCTACATCACCAACATGGCCATCGCCGACTGCGCTCTGTTGACGTTCCTGCCCGTTAAGATTCATTACTACAGCAGGCCATTGGAAGAGCATTTAAAGGCACTGTGTAATGTTGTTTTGTTGGTTTATTACGTCAACATGTACGTGAGCATCTTCATCATCACGGCCATAAGCGTGGTGCGGTACGTGGCCATCAAGTATCCCATGAAGGCCAGGAATATCTTCTCTTGCAGGAACGCTCTGGTGGTGTGCGCGCTCATATGGTTCACCATTTGCTCCATCAGCCCGGTTTACTTCGTTACGGACTCCAATAACGACAAGACCATGTGCTTCCAGAGGGTCAAGGGAGGTTTGTCGTTGCATTTCGTTTTGGTGTTGGTCATCGTTGGATTCCTAGTGCCGTTCCTCATCATGCTGTTCTGCTCCGTTAGAGTCATTTGCACTTTAAAGAAACAGTTGGACGTCGGATCGCGTTCTGAGAAGATCCAATGCATGTTTATCATCATGGCCAATTTAGTTGTTTTCGTCATATGCTTTCTCCCCGTCCACTTGGGTTACCTCGTTAAATACATCGTGCAAAACAAGTATGCAAACACAGACGATAATGAAAGCTGCTACTACAAACTGGTCGCGCACAACTTCCTGCACATTGCTCTTTGCTTTTCCAATATGAACTGCGGTTTGGACTGCTTTAGCTATTTTTTCGCAACCAAAACGTCCTGGAATATGTGCTGCATGAATGACACTAACAATAAAGAAGGTGAATGTGATTACAACACCGTTTCGGATGCAG